ATCTTTAGATAAGGAAACTCGGCAACGATATGAAAAACAGTATGAGGTGCGGTCTTTCACTGGTTATTTGTTTGAGCCGCTGTTTGCATTTTCTAACCTTCAAAAAGGCTAAGTAGCCTTTGCTAGCTAACTAGTGGTCGATTCTTCCATATCTTGTTTCTCTTTCTTTTTTATTTCTTTTTAGCGATTTCGCAAATAGTCTTCAAATGCAAGGATTAGAAATTTCAGTACGCCTTTTTCACATTCTTAGGAAAGATTTACCGATGTTTTCTATTGCTTCATCTCTTGGTTAGTGTCGCTATTGCCTTCCAAGTTTGTCAATCTTAGGAGACCTTTTGGCGCACTTAGACCCGGGGGGCACGAATGGTACTCAGCGAAGCCTGTACAGGCCTCATTGTAAAGACCCGTAAATTCTCATAACATAACTGGTCCACTTGTTCCACTTTGTAGCTTCACAAAGCTCACAGGTCACACTGGAACAAGAAGCTGTATTAAGCAGAACCGACCAGCGGAACTAGCGAGAGCGCAAAATGCTACTCCCAGGCCAAGAAAGCACCGGCCTTCCTTTTCTTAACAAATTTTTCAGCTCTTGTCGCAAATCGTTACCATTTTTACACAGTCTTTTCCATCTACTTAACCTTAGCTCTGGTCAATGTCTTTGGTACCTTCCGTACTTTGCCTATAACAAGGAAAGGGTGCCTGTCATGTGTTGTGCTAGTGTGTCATGTGTAGGCAATGTGACATACCTAGATGTTTGCTTCATTCTTCCTCTACTTTTTTCAAATTCCTATGTTCATCCCAGAGCCCCAGAAATGTTGAAAATGGACTCACTATCAAAGTGATAATGCTGCGTCCTATCGCAATGTTCTCCAGAATCCTTTCCCAACAGCAACTTCAACCGGCCAACTCTAATTTTTGAATGGCTTTTTCAGGCGTACTCTGCAGCAAACAAAGTTTACATGAGCAGTTAAAAAATTGCGGGCAAACCTATCAAAAAGCGCACGACTCGGGCTTGTTCCTAAGTTTTTTTTCCGCT